TCATCTCTCAGTCAAGCTCAGCTGACTCCCATCTGGCTCAATGCTATAGAACAGGATGCCACACTCTTACTCACCTCTCCTTCTCCCACTGCACAGATGGTTCTTTCTCTTCTAAGAATGTGGGCACCACTCAAATCCCTCATGCCTTTGGAACAAGAACACAAGTGATCCTTTTACTGGCTTTATGCGACCAAGAGATAAACGTCGATTCACTGATTTCCCCAGTTTCCTTAGTTAGGATCTTTTTTTTAAGTCGGGACACTACTACAATATAGGTTCCGCTGCCATCTCATCCAGAGTTCCTTCTCTACATGAATGCCTTGTTTCAGGCATATATCAACAGTCAGGGATTCCAGGGTCTATGCATGGACAAATAGGATTTCCTACACATTGTTTTCATTCTTCTTGTTCTTCAACAGGCAATGCCTCATGGTCTGGGCTTACTAAGGAGTAAATTTTCAGGCTTCACTCTGGCAATTCCATGGTGGTGTCTTGTAGTTCTCATCAAGAAGGCACATGGTCTAGGGCTCCTTGTTTTCAAATTTTAGACCTCCTTCTCAGGACCATTCCTATCTTATCACCCTTATAGCTTGCCACGTTCCATGGGTGATGCCTGTTGTAGCAAGTCAGTTGTTTCAATCCAAAGAGATTATTCCAACAGAATAGATGTTGCATTGCAAGGTTTTGTTGGATTGGCTCTTATTTTGCAACTCTAATTAGTAGGTTGGCCTCTCATTGGTTTACACAACTACTGGCAAATTGGTCTCCAGTAATTCATCTTCAGGCTTTGGCAATAGATGCATTCCATGAGGATAGGATAGGATTACAACTGTAAGCCTTCTGTCCACTTCATATATTATCCAGGGTACTAAATATGATTTGTTCTAACCCATTGTCAGGTCCTGTTGATAGCATCAGATTGGCTGCTACATCAGGGTTTCTGCTTTTGCAGTCCCTTCTGGAGTGTCCAAGTCTGCCACTTCTTTCTAGGATCTATCTGTGGAGGCAGCCATGATCTGATATGGTACACCCAGCTATCCAGAAGCTCAAACTTCTGGCATATATGGTTTAATTTATAAGGTTGCCATATATCTGCCTCAGTTTTTGCTTAGTCCGAAAGGCACATTTATCAACGGTAATGATATGAGGCGGTTGAATCCATTTCCATCAGTAGTGTCAACCATAACTTGTTTTTTGACCTGGCTCTTTGGCACAGGTTTTTGCATCTTCCACTGTTGCCTTGATTAAGGTGGCCTTATCAACTATCATTTGATTATCCTGACCACGTATTTTTTGAGTCCCTTGTAATTACTCTCCAGATTCCTCAAGCTGCTTTTGGTACTTGTCCCAAATGACCATTCCAGTTACCTACCATGGATATTAAGTTTACATTACAGGTTCTTTCTCAACACGTTTGTGACCTGACTCTTATATGCCATGTATCCCCTTTATCTGCTGGTTTATTTTTTGTGGCTGCTGACCTGCAGACATCACCAGTCAGAGTGATTTACACTGTTTGTCCACATACCACATTCTCATTCTCTCTACATCCTCAGACCAGTTCTTCTTACCCAGCATGCCGTCAGATAGGATGGGTTCAATCCTTTTCTCCGTTTCATCTGATCACTCTTTCTCTCTTCTATGTCTCATCAGATTTTGATCTTGGTCACATTCAGTGAGAGTCTTGAAGGTTTTGTTGCCTGCATTAATACCTTTAGAGATACTAGACAACAATTTTAGTCTGGGCTCTCTTCAAAGGTGAGGAATCTTCTGTGAGTTGCATCTAATGAGATTTGTCACTTTTCTATGCCCTTGGTGGCCCAGTTGAATTTCTCATTATTTGCATGATCTGGCAGTCTCTTCATATGAGAGTTTTTATCTACAACCTGTAGTTATCTTACCCATTTATGCTAGATTATCCAGAGGGGTGTTTATCTTCATTTCTACCTTTCAGGGTCTCTTACCTTGTTTTTGCAGGATCCAACTGTGTGGAGAGTGTTGCCCAGAAAGGTGTGCTTTTATCAAACCAATTCCGCACTAGCCACTACCAATTCAGTATACTTTGTGCAGGTTGTAACGGGCTCTGTAGAATTAAGGTGTTCCTTAAGACCAACTTGGATCCCTAGATTTTTATCTCAGATGTTGGTAGGAGTGACACCAGCCTACTCATTCTACCAGTTCAGATTTGCTGCTCCGCTATCAGTACATTCTTCATTGAAAAGGGTCCAGTATCTCTTCATTATTCTGAACACAGAGTGGTCCCATCGTGGGTTCTTGTTGTTCCACGTCCTTCCCATAATTCCATGGGCAAGTGGAATATACCGTGCCCACAAGGTTGGGGAGTGAAGATGAGTTTTCATAATTCCAGACTGGATGAGTTCTGTTTCCTCAGGTTAAACAGGGTACACACAGTCCTGTCATTTCAAGCCTGAGGTGTTGCCTTTCAGACTTCTTCGGGTGAAGAAGGTTTGTCCACTTCGGTGTTGATTACTTTCTTGCCCTGATTCCTATGATTCTGAACACATCACTCTGTGGCTACAGATAGGGATCCACTCATGAGTAATATATATATATATATATATATATACACACATATATAGTGTTGCTGTCCAATAGCCCTAACTGCCAATGTGGAATATAGGAACCAAGAAACCTTAATTCCAACCCCAAGTAGTGGAACCTCAGATATTTGGGTGGGACTGGCCTATAGTGGTAATAACTTGCATACCATTCCACTCATGATACAGGAATTCAGTTCTTTTGACGAAGAGCATACCTGTTCTGTATGCAGTGTGGTTTCCCTCACAAGGGTGCCAATCTTCTATTGACACAGCCATGGCCTATGCAGATTCTTTCTGTATGGATAATGCCCTCACTAGCCTCTCCACCTTATCAGTGTGGGATTATAGCTGTAAGGGGAAGAGGAGGTATGTATGTTTTGGAAGTTAACATATTCCTAAATTGAAAATGTATATTGAAATAATTCTTACCTGCTCTTACACTCTTCCATCCTTCCTACCCACTAAGAGCCAGTGTTAGGGATTGGAATTGAGTCAGTATCAAAATATGATAACATTATTTGAATGAGGTATTTATATACAGTACCAGGATAGGTGTCACATTGATGTAGGTGGAGAGTATCACAAGATAAATATTGCCAAAGGCAGTTGAGTGGGGTATAAAAGACTGTAGCAAACGAGAAAAAATTAGACCAATGCTTAGATGGCCAAAGGAAGAAATCCTGATGGTTGAATAATAGCTGTAAGTGTGAATGGAGGAAACTATTGTTGGAAATACATTTTCAATTTAGGAAAATATTAACATTTCTAATTTTCAGAAAACCAATTTTGAGGCAGTGAGACAAGATTTATCACAGGTGAATTGGGAAAATGGGTTAAAAGGTGATGTGGGACAGATTTGGGAATTTTTTTACAAATATCTTTAATTCAAGATAGGTATGTTCCTACAAAGGGGAAAAGGATAACAGGGAAGATCACACCTAATTGGCTTACAAAAGAAGGAGAAAATCAAAGATAAATGCACAAGTTTAAGAGGTTTAAATGGATAGATAAGACAGAACATTTACAAGACTAGGAATTTAAGGGTTTGATTAAAAAAGGAAATTAGAAAATTCAGACTAGCTTATGACAAACAGCTGGCTGATAATGTAAAAACTAACAGCAAGAATTCAAGTATGTTAAAGGTAAGCAGAATGTTAAAGTGTAGGTTATGCTCTTAAAGTATGCTGATGGCAAGGTTTTTGTTGAAGACTGTAAGATGCTGAACTTTCTATTTTTACAAGAGAGGATGTCAGCAATATTCATTACCCTGTTACTTCTATGGATAATACTGGGATTAACCTGAATCATGTTGATATCAATCCTTTTGTAGTAGAAAGAATGAGATGTCAAAAATAGATAAAGCACCAGCATCACACAAGGTTATAAAGGATGTCAAAGATCAAGTAAGTGAACCTTTAATTTTCTCTAAGTCAAGACGATTGGCATGAGGATTGGAGAATTGCTAGGTACTGCTATGTTTAAAAGGGGTGAAAAAGAGTTACTCTGCAATTTATTTACTAAAGTAATGGGCAAAATTCTAGAGTCTGATAAAAGAAGCTTTCCAAAATCACATACTTAAATATGATATAAAAGAATATAGCATGAATTCACCATAGGGAAATCTTTCCTTACTAATCTGTCACCTTTTTTCCGTATATTTTACTTGTTATCTGGATAATGGAAAGTTTGTAGACTAGGTGTCTTAGATTTTCAGAAAGATTTTGATATGGTGCCACACACAAAAGATAAGCAAAGAAAATCACCCTTTATTCTTCATGAAATCACTGACTTGCCTTTAAAACAATTATAAAGTTCTGGCATTTAATACTACTTATGGCAACTCATTCCATAAACCAATCACTCTGTTACAAAAATAGAACTGTCTCAACTAGAGCCTAATCTGTCTTTTTCCAAACATTAAACATAAATCTTCTTGTCCTATTGATCTTCTTGGATTATCTTTACCTTTCTTTACAAAAAGTAAGTCAACTAATATTAACCTAACCCCATAAAGTAGCTCTTCCATTCTTGAGAAATTATTTTTCTCATAGGTGAGTATGCAAGGACAGCTGTGAAGGACCAGTTCATACCCTGTTGTCCACATGTTATGTGTGTGTGTTATGTTCCCTCAAATCTAAAATATATAGTGTATTAGTATGTTATGATTGTAGTTTAAAGACATACTTCTAAGTGTAATGTACCTCTCTGTATATGGCTTGACTTACTGATGTTGGCATATGCTGTAAGGTAATGTGTGTTACCAATTATTTGGGCTTTAAAAAATATGTTTGGTACTGATAAATTCAAGATTAAATTAATTTTATTAGTGCAATTGCACCTCTTAATGAACCTTTATCATACAATTTTTACATTTTACAACAGAATCTTTTTTATATAGTCGAGTGGAAGATATCATAGTTTATATTATTTCTTTTACAGCCACAGGTATATCTTTTAAAATTGAAGCTGCAGTAGACATTAATACAACAGCTAACCAGGTTTATATGCATAACTTTCCAGACACAACACTCCTGCAGAGAAACATTCTTGTAAGTGATTTTGAAGGAAATGGTATTAATTTAGAATAGTTGCCTTTAACAAAAGTAATAGTTGGATAAAGAAAAAAATCACTGTTATTTTCCCTCAAATCAAAAATATGTAGTGTATTAGGTAATCACTATAGCTTTTAGAGAGCTATTTTCAAAATTTAGTTAGATAACTTTATTATCAATATATGTCAATAAAATTGGTATCAAAATATAATTTAAATATAATTTAAATTTTAATATATGTTTTAATTTCTTGATTCAAAAGAAAATACTTAAAAAATGCCAAATATGCTTTTTTGTGTGTCATATGGCATATCTTTTCTTACTGCTCAGTTTATATTTTGTAATGCCTAACGTACAATATCTATAGTGGTTAACAAATTAGAAACTCAGACTTCGGATATTTATAAGTTAGAATATAAAATAAGAACCTCTTACCCTTTTTCATTTGCTGAGATATCAATATATTTTGCAAACCTATGAGGGTAGCCCTGCTCACTACTCTGTTATTTTGAATTCTCTTGTCTACTCACACCTACTTAAGTATGTATTTATAACTAATACAAAGAGCATATTCCAAACTTTGTAATTTTGACAGTCATTTGTAATTGGCTTTTAATGAGTTTTACTGGAAATGTTGAAATCTGTGGATTAAGTTATTGTTCTGAACAGAAAAGATGTTTTTTAATCACATATAGCTTAGTTAGGAAGCCAGATAAACTAATCTGATTTTATATATACCAGTATACAGGGGCAGATTGAGAGCCTAAAACGGCTTGAGCAAATACTGAAAATTCAGGATGATATATATAGAAAGAGAGATGCACAATAGGTTAGTCAGTAGCACCGGGACAATATAACCCGGTTATCATCCCACTGGCCCAGGTATCACCAGCCCACTGGGATTTTGATAATTTTTTGATTTTTCTAAAATGCATCTTTAAAATCTACAAAAATTAATGTCTTCTCCTTCCACTATAGAGAATATATGAGGTTTACGGCAAGGATTAAAAAGTATGATGCACAAGTACAAATCAATTTTGTAACATCATGAGTACAAGAAGTCATTGTTTTTCTGTACATATTTTTTATTTATGGTTCTATGTTGTAAGAAAAGTAACAAAATTAAGCATTTATGAGTAAATATTAATAATATATATACAGGTTTGTAAACACTTACACACTTTATACACCTGTACCACTAAATATCTACTACCTTGGAAGGATAACTAACATCTACATACCTACCAAATTTATTGGATCAACCTGGACTTTGTTCAGAGCCATAAACATTTTCTCACACTTGCTTTGAACAGAATTTAGAGTTTTCTTAACCTACATACAGCTTAGTTAGAAAGTCAGGCAAATTACAGTGGTTTTATGTGTACCAGTATAATAATTTGATAATTTTTGGTTTTCTAAAATGCATCTTTGAAATCCAACAAATTAATTTATCCTCTTCCTACACTTGAGAGGATAAGTGAGACTTACGGTGAAACTTAAGTATGAATTTTCTGACATGGTAGGTACTTGGAATCATTTGTTTTCAACATATTTTTTTGGTTACCAGGGCACAGAATTAACTTTTATGGTCAGGGAGTCAGGTACCTGGACAAATTTATGAGACTCCACAGTTCAGTAAATTTTGAAATTCAAAATATTTTTGTTCCCAGTGATCTACTTGAACATAAAAACTATTCCATGATATTGGTCAATAATAACTGGTAAACTGTCTTTTTGTATTGATATGCAATAGTAAAAAGAAAGTAGAGAACTGTTAAGTTTAAAGACTCTTTAATTTGCGTAACATTTTTACACAGAAAGCATAAGTGTGATCTCTTATCATCACAAGCCTTAGTTTACTTGTGATGTTGTGAAAGCTAAATTAATTCTTTAACCATTGTCTTGCATGTTCTTGAGCAAAGAGTCTGAAGATCTGAATAATCAATGGATCATCATATTATTTATAGAAATTATTTAGTCTGAACTGTGTAATTCTGTTTCTGAGTCTGAAGTGCTTGATGACTCTGAATCTGAGCTAGTCTAGTAAGTCCATTTACATCTCTTGAATAAGGTCAGATACACAGTTCCCTTTCCTGTATCAATATGGCTTGACTGAGTGCTTTCTACCTCTAACATCTTCCCTCCATAACTGATATGATGGAGCTGGATCATAAGAAGGATCAGTGTGAAGGCATTTGAATTTGGTTTTAATCCATTTCTAATGTCCATATGAACCAACTTGTAGAGACTGAAGCCCCTCTCAACTTCTGCACTTTGGGCTTATAATGATAAAACTAGGTAAATTAATGTTAATACATTGTGATAATGTCTCATGGTTCATCCACATTTCCAGCCACAAACTGATACTGTTCACAAGTGATGAATGTTTAAGCTGCCTCTCAGCAGCACAAACAACAAGTGATTTCCACGGGTGCCATACAGACAAAACATCTTGTACAGTAACAGGTCCAGCAGGTAAGTTTGCCAAGGGAACCTGGAAATGCTCACAAATTAAAGTGATCTCATCATCACCAAATTTCAGGAGAGCAGTTTTATCTTTCTTAGGCCAGGTGTTGACATTATAGACTGACAAAAGCATTTACAACTGGCTTTTCAAGGTCACTAAATCTTTTTTTAAGATGATTACCAAATTTGTTAATAATGCTCATCTTTTTCCAAATGTGTGACATCACTTTCTAGAGGCAAATCAGAAAATGAAATGTTTTCTATGGTGTCATCTTTCAGTAATTTTCTCAGTGAAGGGCCAAAATTTGTTTTGTATTTTTCTAAAGCTGTAATTATTGAATTCAAGTGCTCATTCACTTCATAAAGCAGACATTATTTTCTTGTATTACAGTTGAAGAGCATTGTGTAACTGAGGTCAAGTCAAAGAAAAAATTTAACCAAATAGTTATTAATAAATTCTGTGGCTTTAGACTTAGCAGTGGTTGAACATTTATTGTCTGCTTTTACAGCAGCAAGATGAGCATAAAGTGCTGGGTATACTGACAAAATATTTTCAACTGCCCAGTGAGTGTGTTGTACCCACCTAGTACCTCCAATTCTCGTCAGGACACGATGAGGTTTTGAAAGATGATGTCTGGCCTTTAACAATGACTGGTAATAAAATACATACAGTCCTAACAAAAGTTCTTCACATTTGTTTTGCAATGATAGATCTTTGGGAAACACAATGGACAGCAGTAATCCAGTCAGCCTGGTCAAGAAAGTGCTTTACTGATCTGTTGCTTATGCCAAAATTTACAGTTACATTATCAGCAGCAAACCCTATGAGATGTTTGTAAAATTCCTTCTCAGTAAAACCTAACTCATCATGTAATGCTTCTAATATTGTACTTTTATTGATTCACTATTAGGTTTGTCAACAATTTTGCAAGCTCCTAAAACTATATATATTTCACCATGTTTAACTGCCCTTAAATATAGTAGTTCTACTTCACATATAACAGTATCAGTGGAACCATCCACCATAATGGTGTAAAAACGACCTAGACTCAGCCTGGAAACTTCTTCATGTTGTGCAGCTTCACTAATATATTTGCAGATAGTTGCACATAACATGTCACTGTGACAACTGATACCCATGTCAGCAACATATTTTCACTTGAGTTCAACAATCCATACAAAATCATACACTAATGCATATGCAGAGCTTAAGTTTCAATACTCATTCTTTCTCAAATCTTGCTTTCACAACCAAACTGGTTTAGCTTTTTTAAATGCCAGCGCTGCCTCACACTTGATGTGTCTTTTAGAATTAGCATGGTATCTAAATGCTGTTGTTTTAAAACTTTCAACACCTTTCACACATGAACTATGGTCAATATCCCTAGAATTCCTGCACATGGTACAGAAAACTTTCTCATCATCATCTTAAGATAGCCATGGAAACTCTTTTTGCCATGACACCTGAAAATAATGAATGTTATTATTCATAGTTTTGAATGCAGTTTTATTTCAACCATAAATATAAAGAAATTAAAATTATATAGAAAATGAAGTGATATGCTCTGTTGATACCAAATAAATACTGTTACAATTTATACCACTTCATTTACTCTTGTTTATCTTGACTTGTTTAATTTGGCATAAAAATACATTAATTTTAGTGTATTTCTAAAGTTTTTCAGTATAATGTTTTATTAGTTTGGTTAGGCTCAATAGAAAGATCTTACCAATGTGTAAAAATAGCCCTAAAATTTGCTCAGTGATGTTACAATATGTTTGTCAAAATGTATCAAACAATATTCGGTTTACTCCTAAAATGGCAGTGCGTTAAGACTTAGACAAATATTTTAGTGTTTATTCTAACAAAAATGGTTACATGTATTTTAAGATTATCAACAGATCAATGTAATATATCTATTTTATTAATATTAGGCTTATCTGAAATGACTTCTTTTGCCATTTCTTACATTCATAATTATTATAGTCTCTCTTTGGCTCAGCTTGTGTAGCATCTGATTGTTGAGACGTCTTCTCATCAGAGCTCGTAATTAAGTTGCTTGATAAACGGGCTTGGATGATTATTTTTGGCATTATTATAGCTTATTAATTAACTATTTACTGCTTCTAATTTATCCCAATGTTAAAGCTATCAAACATGTCAAAAGAAGCAATATATATTATGGTGACATCTATTAACAGTATCTACAACTACCTATAAATATGAGGTTCCTGTGAAGTAATATTCTGTCAAAAAACACAAGTTAATTTAAATAATAACAAGTAACATTGATTGTGTAAAGAAGTGTATTTTTTATTTATATTTTCTGTACATGATGTGAGTGGCACATTTTTTAGTGGACTATCGTATTTATTCGTGTATGAATGATACCAGTTGGGAGAGACTACACGGGAGTCTTTCCCATATGCTAACAAGACTGAGCCACACTTCTTCACTGATCAATATGCCATTAATATATATATTTTGTTTCATATTGCTCCATAATTTTGATAACTTCTATAACTATTGC